GCATTCACATGTAAGGATGCATACACATGGATTTAACCAGAGTAAAGTATAGGCATACTCAATTTACTAATAAAATTAAAATCACAATATTGAAAACTTCTTTCCTTCCATCATGTAGTGTAGTTCTCTGTGGTGGATTGACAGCTGGTAGTCAACTTGTCACACCCAGCTGAACTGGACCATGGTGGTGCTAGGTGTGGGAGGACCACCTGAGGATTATTGCCAGCAGTATAAGAGACAGAAGTGGAGAGGAAGAAATTCAGAAGCTGCTGGGAACTGTTGGTTCTCTTGGAGGAACTTGTCATGCTGGCTTTCCTGATGGGCTTGCTCTTCCCGTTGTCAAAGGAGCTTAGGTTCTTGTCACTGAGAATGGTCATGGTTCACTTTAGGGGAGCTCTGGTTCTCACTTTAAGCATTGCTTCCTGGCTCCAGAGGGAAAGATAGTGCACCGCTCCACCTCCTCGAAAAGCTTGTTGTGTTAGCTTTCCTGATGGGAACTCAGCTTTCCTCATGATAGGAGGAGCTCAGGACATCACTGTTGCTGAAAATGGCTGTGGTACTTTTAGGGGGAATTCTGGTTCTTATTTTGAGCATCTCTTCCTGGCTCCAGTACAGATCCCTCGGGCTGCTGGCACATATTCTTCATTGTGCTGAAACAGACTTTCTAGCTTCCACCACTGACCTTTGGTCCTTCCCAGTGCAGATCTGTCAAGTGGGCCTGCATAACTGTCCTGGACTCTAGGCCTCTCATTGAAGGGAGGCATTGTTATGGGCTGTAGGTCTTCAGCTGGACTCAAGCTGGGCATTATTGTGGGATCCAGGCCCCCAGCAGGATTCTTTAGTTTTTAGTGTGTGGATAGATTTGTTACACTCTTTCTATATAAGTCTTTGGGTGATTATTATAAATAATCTTATGAAACACGTGTCCTGTATTGTTCTTCTTGCAACACCCCAATCTCTGACATTCTCTCTGGTATGTTTCTGTGCTAGAAAGGGAATGTTTAACTTAAAAAAAAAAAGAAAAGAAAAGAAAAAGTGTGTCTTTCAGCAACTAAATTAGAATGCAAAGAGTTGGGGTTTTTATTTGATTCTTCATTTTCCCCTCAGTAATCTGACCAGACTGCACAAGAATTTAAATGTCTCCATGGGAGATAGTGGATTTTAGTTCTCTTGGGATTTATTGTAATGAGCCTGGTAAATAATTCAGGAGCATATTAGAAGTCAGTAAATGGGCAGCACCTGGTGTATATTGTTCATGCCTAAAGACACAGGCCAAAGGTGGCATTCTGCACCTGTCACTATTGTTCTGGCTTAAATATGGACCCTCTATTCAGTGGCTATTGAAAGAATAGTAAGTAATATTTTTCTCTAGTCTTCCATGATCTAAGAATACTGTTCTAATCTGTTTTAAAAATTCAAAGCAGCAGTGCTATTCTCTTAAACTTCCTCAGTAAAATTTCAAGCCTGTTTTCTCTACCATGAGGCAAGTGCTTTATCTTTTAGTTTTTATTTTTGGCTGGCTCAACTCACCCTGAGGGAGGGATTGGTGCGGCATGTTGTGCCGGGGATTGAACCGCAGTCTCCTGCACCTGCCAAAGCTTGCCTAGGCAGGCATTTTAGACTGCTGTGCTATCTCACCGGACCCATGATTGCTTTAAAGAATTAGGTATATGTCCACCTTTTCTACTGGTACTAAATTAAATCTTTTTTATGTTGCTCTGCAAACTTGAGCTTCTTTTTGATCATGTTATTCATATGCAGGAATCTACTGAGAGAACCCAATCCTCAGCCATTCAGTCAGCAGAAATGTCTGCAGCTTCCCAGTTCCTCTCCCTGTTGTTACCTAAGTATCCTATCCAACAGTTTGAAACAAGCCAGCATGCTCTTTGGGCAATTCCAGCTGACTAAACACAGAATGTTCTTCTGCAGCCTGAGAGGACAGGGACTAAAGACCAAGAGATTTTGTACGGAGGCAGAGAGGGCACTGAGTCCAGCATGACGTGGGATCAAGCAGTGCTTAAATCAGGAGCAGCATGGAAAGATCTTGGAAGGATGTAGCATTCCCACAGGGGAAATAGAAAGATGTACCTCATAAGCCACAGGGAAAGTTTCTGCAGTGCTTGTCCCTAAAAAGTGTCTCAATAGAGAATATAGAGAATTTCACTTAGAGATTGTTAGGTGTGAATCTTGCTGATCTTGGCAGCCATCATGAGCGATGAGAGGCCATCGTTGTGGAGCATGGCCTCCAGGTTGCTGTCGGGGAAGAGGTGGGCACACTTGAGCAGCAGGTGTCTGCTGGAGGGCCTCATCCAGTCTGCACCAGTTGTCCTGCAGCTCTGGACCAGGGACCTGCGGCAGCGCCTGCTGGCATGCTTGGTGGTCACAGCTGCATAAAAGCAAGTGTTTCTGGCATCTAGTGGAGCAAGACCCGGATGCCACAGAATGCCCTGCAATGCACAAGAAGCCTCTGCACTGCAGGACCCACCCCAAGCATCACCTGGCCAGAGCTGAGAAACGCTGGCCTGTAGCTAGGTTTTGCAGTTCTCCTTTCGCAGATGAAGTCCCTAGGCACAGAGATGCTAAATTCTTGCCTGGGGCCACACAGCAGGTCAGTAACAGAGCTGGGATTAAAATCCTGCAGCTGGCTGCAGGCCCAGAGTACCCTGCCACTTGGTCCACTGGGCCTGGCCTGGTATCTGGTACCACTCTGAGCCATGATGGGAAGGATTATTAGCAGCACATTCCAATCTCTCTGAGCCTCAGTTTCTCTACCTGTGCAGCGGCCTACAATGATACCTCCTGTGTAGTAGAGCTTTTGTGACATTGAAAGGGAGATTAAAATTTTAAATAAAATCCCACCAAGAAAGCCTGCTACAAATACCCACCACAGCCACATGGACATGTTCAGACAAACCTGACAGTAGCACACGTCCTTTGTGTAACCCATGCTTGTTCAACTGATGGCCTTGCAATATGACTTGAGATGTTTAAATTCCCTTGGCAACCTGGATGTCATTGAACCTTCCAATCATAATATACTGGCTATACCTCTGTACCTCACCCTTGCTCTCCCCATAAAAGCCCCAATCTTGATTCTTTGGGAGAGATCCCAGTCAAGCCCACAGGGTAATAAACTGCCTCCTAAATGAAAGAAAAGAAATTGTAGGTGTGCTTTATCTTTGTTTTTAAGGGCTTTTTATTATGGTTTAAAATATTCATTAAAACATTAAATTTGTAATATGTATATATAACTACATATAATAGGTATAACTACATAAAATGGAAACAAAATGTTTTAAACCTCTGTGTATTTGTGTGTGTATGTGTGTTTGTGTGTGAGAGAGACAGAGAGAGAAACAGACAGAAAGAGACAGAGAGACAGAGAGAGACAGAGAGAGAACTTGTTAATAAGTGTATTAAGTCTAATTGTTTTCCTTCCTTCAGGAAGGACTACTTGGAATAGTGACTGCCCTCTGGTGGTGATCGAGAATTGTCACTTTGTATCACCAGCTGGTTGCTAAGATGCCCACCCTGGCTGAGACGGTTCAATGGGCAGCGGGAAACAGTTGAAGGATGTCTGATGAAGAAGCCTAATGACATAACCCTCCACTTCCACATGAATTGGTTGCTTATCCCAGATTCTGAGCCAAGAGCAAACTCCAAAAATGAGATCTCTGAAGGAAAGATTTGGGTCTACATTTCTACCAATGGGTAACCAAGACTATGAATAAGTGCCCACCAAGAAAGCATGTGGTGACATGGAGCCTGAAATAAACTGCTCTGAATTTTGTGACAGTTTTCCTGGCCAGGAGCTGGATCGGAGACCCCTTCATGATCTCTGCAGGACAACAATTGTGAGAAGCCATTAGAACTGCTCAGATGTATATGCTGGTGGGGGGGGGGGAAGAGGAAGGGCAAGAGTAGGGGGAGGAAGAAAAGCAAGAGTAGGGGGAGGGGAGGATGAGCAGGAGGAGGGGGAGGGGGAAGAGGAGCAGGAGGAGGGGAATGGGGAGGAAGAGCAGGAGGAGGGAGAGGGGGAGGAGGAACGGGGAGGGGGAAGAGGTGCAGGAGGAGGGGGAGAGGGAGGAGGAGCAGGAGGAGGAATTGCCCATGTAAGGTATGTATTTTCCAGCTTTAGTGCTGCCTGTGGAAGATCCTCTAGTCCTGACAACTTCTCTTTTTTCTGGCTTCAGACCTCTCCCCAGGACAGCAGCAATACCATCTCTTCAGTATCTCCTGCCCTCTTGGGTATTGTTTGGACTTTTCTCAGCTGTGGATTGCTTTTGATGTTCTTCTTCCTTGCCTTTACAATTCGCTGCAGGAAGAACAGGTAAGCAGCCCCATGTTGCTTCTCCTCTCCTATACCCTGAAGTGTTAGCATCATTTTGGTGTCACAAGTAGTGAGCCTCCCTGTGTAGCATGGAGCCACCTGACAGGGTCCCTGTGAAACACTGCTGGCTTCATCATATGGTTTCTTTTAAAGAAGAAAAAGAGGGCCGGGGAGATGGCTCAGTAGAATAAGCGCTTCCCTGGCAAGTGCAAGGGTCTGAGTTCAATCCCCAGTTCCATGAAAATAAATAAATAAAATAAAAATAAAGAAGAAAAAGCTATAGCCCAATATTGTGATAACTATTCTAAAAGGATGCCCAATGAAGTCTCTCCTTAAAGGGGAGTACCATGCTTCTAAGATAAGGTATCTATATGAAAAACAGAGACTATATAGAAAACATGTCCAAAACAACATAAGTTTGTAGATAGCACAGTTGAATCAGTCTGAGCAGGTTAAGGTTTCCACCAAAACCAGTGGAGCTTTACTGCCTGGCTGCTCTGCTCTGCTCTGCTGGATGGTTCTGGTAGGCTGGGGAGTCACTAGCTTCTTGGAGTGTCTGGGGGTCCAATGGCAGTCAAAGAAGTAAGGTGGTGACTGGCACCCAGAGTCTTGTCTGTGGTGCTCTTTGGTTCTTCCCTGGGGCTCATCACATCTCTTCTACCCCAACACTGTACCTCCGTCCTGCCCTGTTTGCCCAGCTGCCTCCTGCAAAGCCACGCTTCAGCCCTCTCTCCCTATCCTACAGCTGACTTTTGGTTGGAGCCCATTCTCAGAATTCACCTACTCCCCCAGAGAGCCCAGACTCTCCCTAGTTCCCTCCAGCATTCCACTGCCTGGTAATCAAGTGTGTTGGGCTCCATGGCTTGTGGTTTGGCACTTGAATAAGGATTGATGAACTATATTTGTCTAGCAGGCATTTGAGGTACTATTTGGCATTTTAGACATTGAAAACAGGGAATTGTCAACCAGCAGTGACTTGTATGACTGGGTCAACCTCAATATAACAGAGGCACATGGCACATGACCTGAGTGTTTTTCCTAGGGTGCCCTAGCCACTTATTAATCTATTCCTCAAGCAGACCAAGCTCACCTTCATCCCAGGGCCTTCGTGTCTCCTGTCCCCTGGCTGTCCCATGTGCCTGGCAGTCTTCCTCAGATCTCCCACAACCAGTTCATTCTCACCCTCTAAGTCTCAGCATCAGTGTTACCTCTTCAGGAAAGTCTTCTCTCACTGTCTTCTCTAAAGTAACCTCTCTATTCTGGCCACTCAGGCCCCTGTCTCATTTCTTACCACATTTCTCATTTTATTCTCTTCATAATGAGTGTAGCTACTTGATATTCTGAATGTACTGAATTACTTGCTTTTGCCCATATCCCTGATCAGAATGTAAAGTCTTTGAGAATGGGAGCCTGATTTGTGCTCACCACTAAGCCTCCAGCTTTTAGAACTGATTCTAACACAAAATAGGTGCTCAGTAAATATGTATTGTGACCCTACAAGGAACTGAAATCCCAGCAGTGGCTACTGCCAAGAAAATAGGGAGAAAGAATCATGCATTTCAAAGTTAGAGAAGCACAGAGTGGACTTTTCAGCTGCAATACATTTCTGTAATGCAAATTTATACTCTAGTGGCAAAGTAAAAAGGACATCACTGCTTCACATGTAGTATTTCCTCAAGCAAGACAGTAATTTAAAGGATTCAAGGACAAGTTTTCTCATAGCTAAAAAATGAAACCTTGCACCAAGAATACAGTGCTATAGCAGTGACTGCCTTTTGTGTACATACTGGCCCATTTAATGGCTTCTAAAATCATATTTCCACTGACTGTGAAGCTGCAATAGATGAAGACACAAAGGAGACATTTGCCT